TTGTGCCAGCACGCACGTACACCGAAAAGAAAACCACGGTTGCCCGAAAGCGCACCATCGCAAGCGAGGTTGGCCCAACGCTGCAGGGTGCGTTCTTTTTCCCTGCGCGAAGCCTTTGCGAGCAAGCGCGAGACAGCGCCAGGCAAGGTGCTCTGTTGCTCCGCGCAAGTCGAGTTTTTGCACCTTGACCACGCCGATCCCCGCAGAGGGTCGCGCGAGCATGTTGAAAATCGCAAAAACCTCGAGTTCTTGAACCTTGACCGCGCGATCCCCGCAGAGGGTCGCGCGAGCACCGCAGAAATCGAAACCTCGAGTTTTTGCACCTCGACCACGCCGATCCCCGCAGAGGGTCGCGCGAGCGTATTAGAAATTGCAAAAACCTCGAGTTTTTGCACCTCGACCAAGCCGATCGCGCAGGGGGTTGCGCGAGCATGTTAAAAATCGCAAAAAACCTCGAGTTTTTGCACCTCGACCACGCCGATCCCCGCAGAGGGTCGATTTTCGTGTAGTGTCGCCTACCCGCCGCCCTAAGAAGAGATTTTTTCCTCGCAAGCCACCAGTTGCACTTGACTCCTTACTTGCAACTTGCACTTGACTCCTTGCGCTTGCAACTTGCGCTTGACTCCAAGCTTGCAACTTGCGCTTGACTCCTTGCGCTTGCAACTTGCGCTTGACTCCGCGCGCTTGCAACTTGCACTTGACTCCACGCACTTGGCTCCTTGCAACTTACAACAACTCTCCTGACTCCTTGCAATGTTACAATGATTCCTTGCAATGACTCCTTGCAATGACTCCTTGCAATGACTCTTGCAATGACTCCTTGCCATGACTCCTTGCAATGACTTCTTGCAATGACTCCTTGCAATGACTTCTGCAATTGACTTCTTGCAATGACTCCTTGCCATAACTCCTTGCCAGAACTCCTTGCAATGACTTTGTGCCATGACTCCTGCAATGACTCCTTGCAATGACTCCTTGCAATAACTTTCATGATGATGCTTCCTGCAAGGACTCCTTGCAATGACTCCTTGCAATCACTTCTTTGGCTTTTAGGATGATGATTCGTTGCAATGTCTCCTTGCCATGACTTCTAACAATGACTCCTTGCAACGACTTTCATCGTGATGATTCCTTGCAATCACTCCTTGCCAGACTCCTTGCCACGACTTCTTGCATGACTCCTTGCAATGACCTTGCCATGACTCCTTGCAATGACTCCTTGCAAGGACTCCTTGCAACGAATGACTTCTTGGAATGACTCCTTGCAATGACTCCTTGCAATGACTCCTTGCAATGACTCCTTGCAATGACTCTTTGCAATGCCTCTTTGCAATGAATCCTTGCAATGACTCCTTGCAATGACTCCTTGCAATAACTTTCATGATGATGATTCCTTGCAATGACTCCTTGCAATGACTTCTTGCAATGACTCGTTGCATTGACTTTTGTGCTGATGATTTCCTAATGACACTTGTCGCGAACCAAGTGGCTCCCAAGGCGGCGGCTGCCAGATCAAAGCGCGCGCGTTGTCGGACGGCTCATCGATTTGCTCGGGCACGTCTTGTCGTGTCCATGACACGCAGTCAAGACTAATGCGAACATTTCGGATGCTAATGATGCTCAGCAGAGGTCTCGGTAGCGGTTGCTTTTGTTCTGTAGTGCTTGGTTGTCCGATTCCTGGCTCTTGCATAGCGCCAGTTTGTACTTACGTCCATGGGGTTCGCAGCAGCGGGTGCAGAGCAAGGCCGCCTCCGCATCCTGGCCGTCTGTCGTTCCTGCAAGTGCCCCTTCGGTGGAAACTCTACTGTCCGGTGGAACAGAGAAACCACCAGCAGGGCTCAAGGTAGGACGCTCATCTGTGCTGAACTTGCTGTCTCTAAACACTTCCCAGATAGCATCTACGTTGACTGTGCGAGCCAATGCTCTGCAGTGAACTAGCAAGGTGCGAAGTGTTATGCGCTTCTTCAAGTCTTAGCGTCATACCGTTTCTACCTGTAAGCCTTTTTAGGGGTAGATTCATTTGCAAGCCAGCCCACCCTTCAGGTTTTTGCAGGAATGTTCCATAGCTATGCAACCGGTCAAACAGCTGGGGTTGCTTAGTTTAGTGGTCACTCTTGCCACTGCAGTGCCATGTGAGCCACCCCGCAGCCGGAGTGGCTGCCCGGCCTACTCTGTCGGCGGCGGCTCGAAGATCTGTGATCTTCGTGACCATGTTGATCAGCGCCAGCGTGTCCGACCGTTTGGCGCTGCCCTCTGCTCCTGGTCTTGTTGACGAGGCAGGGAGCCCCGTGCCTGCGCTATATCGACCCTCGATGTGCGGTTTGGCGATTTGCCCCGTAGCTGCCTTTGTTTCTGCAAGGCGAGCCCCCTCAAAGGAAACCTTTGTTTTGGAACCCTCGGTCGTCGGTCGGTCGTCGTCATTCGTCGTCGTTCGGTCGGTCGTTCGTCGTCGGTCGTTCGTCGTCGTTCGGTCGGTCGTTCGTCGTCGGTCGTTCGTCGGTCGTTCGTCGTCGGTCGTTCGTCGGTCGTTCGTCGTCGGTCGTCGTCGGTCGCCGTCGGTGAAGGGATGTTCAACACAGGGCGCACCTGTGTTGAATCGTCGGTCGTCGGCGTTTGGGAATTCGCGCACTGTCCCCAAAAAAAGGACACTGCGGAAAACTCTCCCATTCTGATTCTGGCCAGTTTGGCAATAATTGCGACTCGCACAGTGGCCCGTGCGGCCATCGTCGTCGTCGTCGTCGTCGGCGTCGTTTGTCGTCGTCGTTCGGTCGGTCGTTCGTCGCCGGTCGTTCGTCGACGGTCAGTCGTTCGTCGTCGGTCGTCGTCGTCGTTCGGTCGGGGAACCTTTTTTTCTTTTTCTTCCCTGTTTTCGTAGCTTGCCTTGCAGAAACGCAGCTACGGGGCAAATTGCAAGCATATCGAGGGGTCGATATAGTGCAGGCACGGGGCTCCCTTGCAGCGCTTTAGCTTTCGGATTCTTCGCAGGAGGAGGTCGTTGCCTGGACGGACGAGTGTCAGAACCCCCTCAGCTGCATCAAAACCCGTTTGGAGAATCCCCTCTAAAGAGAGAGAGAGAGAGAGAGAAAAACTGAAAACTTTAAACCGAACCGACAGAACACGTCGGTTTTTACATTTTGATGATTTTGGGCGAAACATCGCGCAGACTTGCAAGAAGCACCAAAAACACGTGGCGCAAGAACAACAAAACATATTTGCGTGCTGAGCCTTGCGCATTACATTCGAGCAAAAAAACCCACCGGCGCTTTCTTGCCACGGTTTTTTAAAGCCCGTCTCTAGGCTAAAAATGCTGGGCTGGCGCCACGCCTTCTTGCGCCTTGTTTTTTTTAAAACCCCGTCTCTAGGCTGGAAGTGCTGGGCCGGCGCCACGCCTTTTTGCGCCCTTAAATCGAAGCGGCGCCGCGCTCTTACGTCCGATCCAACTTGTCTTTTTCAAGCCCATCGCTTGCTGCCTGGAACGCTGCGTCTGTTTTTGCGTTCAACGCCTTTCGGGCCTGTTGGTCAAAGGTCATTGATAACAGTGCTTGGTGCGTGAGAAACAAATCAAGTCCTTAACATGGCCTGCTAGTGTTTGCTGGGGTTGAATTTGCACGTTCGGGTCTATACCTCTTGCTTGCATTGTGTTTGCTCACCGCCTTAAACCCTTTTCTTCGGCAAGCTCTTGGTGCTTTCCGCTCTGCTTCGAAGGCTTGCCCTTGGCCACCTTGTACTGCTCAACGTGGCATCAGCGCACAGTGTTGCAGGTGTTAATCGCTATTTTGCCCTGGCTCCGTCACGCCTACAAACCAGACATGCAAGTACATATGCGAGAATGCGGCAGCAGCGGCATGTTTTGCCATATTAAGACGATCTGCAGCGTGGTGAGTCCTTTTTGCGGTACGGACTTTTGACAACAGCAATGATTTTTTTCTTGCCAATAATTGGTGTTTTGGCTCCTTTGCAAGGTGCCTTGAGAAAAACCGTTTTTCCTGCTATGGAAGAACCATTTTCAGAAACATGCAATTGCTCGCATCACCACTTGGACACTCGAGCATCTTGATGTTGCAGTGCCACGCCAGGATGGGCAGAAACAGTTTTGTATTGGCCATCAGGATCCTTTTGTGCAGTTGGCGCGACTGCGTCCCATGATGTTTTTCAGGCGCGAATCCGTGGACAAAAAAGACATCATCGTGCTACAGACCAAAGACTGACACAAAAAGCAAACGGATAAGCCGAACACTTGCAAGGTGGTCTGCTTTGTCCAAGAGGTTGATGTCGGTGAACTTGCAATGGGCGGTGTTGCCGACCGCATTGACGGGTTAACAGGCACCACACACTTTTTAGGGAAGGCGACCTCGACCAATACGCCGCGCGCAAGTTCGCTTGTCTTTTCTCCACGCTGCAAGGGTGGCTATCAACGCCGACTTGTGATGTTCGAATTTATCACATGCGCGGCCAGGGGACCGTGGATTTGTGGAGGTGGATTTTGGCAGTCGAGTTTGGAGAATCTAACATTTCGCCAGCAGTGCAACTTGCACGCAAAAATTATGCAAAGCCGAGCAATGTGCTGACTGGGACGTTTTGGGCTGCTTTGAGCGGCGTGGGAACTCTTATTTTCATTGGTTCAACGAAGTTGCAAAAGGCTCGCGGTTGAGTCCAGTCAGTGAGGGTCTCATTGCCTTCCTAGCCCAATTCTAAGTTGTTTTTTACAGTTCGCAGGGCTCAAGTCAAAAGCGGCATCGCTCCACCATAGTTTTCGGGTTTCAACAAGTTAACCATGTTAGCTCCAATTTTTTTGCGCTGGCGTTAGGCGCAGAAACTTCAAGCAACCCTTTATTGGCGGTTGGGGTTGCTGCTGGTTCTTGTACATAAGCAAATGGAAAGCCAACTCCAAAACCACCAATGCGAACCACCAATCGAAACCACCCCGTTTTCGGGAAATCTGACAACTCGCTTAAGTCCGAAGCCGGCGCCTTTCAACCCTGGGCAAAGCTTCTTCCGCCATGACAAAGCGGAAAATCAGGCGGGGTGTTGAGCGATGCGGGGGTTTCCAGAGCAGGTTGCATGGTTCAGGACATCGGTTTCAGTTCATTTGTGTTCGAGCCCGGTTCGAGTCCGGACTTGGGGCGCTGATCCTTCGTCTGTTGGCGGCCTTGCAGAGGCCATGGCTTGCGACCCAAATACTCAACATGAACGCCCCTGAACAACTCCAGAAAGGCCGGTGGTTTTCTCGAGCTACGACATGTATGCGTTCAAAGCTCAGAGGTTTGAGGGCTTCGATTGAATTTGATTTTAATGGTGTTGTCAAGCTTCATCTTTTTTGGTTGGATTCTGTGGGGATTTTGCATGGCAGGATTCGACCATGACTTGTTTGACTGTTCCTATTGCTCGAGTCCAAGACAGTGCACGGCAAGAAGTGCTCGCAGCAGCTGGAAGAGACACCAGCATTGTACATGGACAAGTCATCATTTTTTCTTCCAAGTTACTCATCTTCTCCTGTACTTCTCTACATCGTATGGGTGCAGCTGTGCAGCTGGCTTTGTTTCTTCTGTGCTTAGCGGGAGTAGCATTCATTCTGGGAATCGAATTCTGCCACGCTGTTATCGGCATTTTCTTCTACAAGCGTTTGCACGGGGTGTCCTCTTTTCTAAACTTACCGACTCGGAAAATCATTGAACACGAGCATGGCATAGCATCCAAAACTAGCAAGACGTTGCAAACAAATAGCAATGACAAAACATGGGGTATCCAAAAACTTCACATGAACAAACAAAATATTGGAACACCAGTTCAGTCTAGCCACATTGCCCTGAAACAAAGCAAAGACTAGTTGGAAGCGTGCTCATGTCAGGTCTGGCAGGCTGAAGCCGAAGATCTCGCAAGGCGGGCAAACAGAGCTTGAGCTGTCCCCTTCCCCAAACGAACCGGTCTACACCAGATTATGGCAGGAAAGGGTCAACTTTTCCCACAGCTGGCAAGTTTGACAAATTAATGAGAACGAAGTGCAAGGTTTGTACCTTGAGTTCACAGTCCACGATTTTGTTTTCATGATTGCCTGTTTTGTATTCGTGTGTTTTTCTGTTGTGTTCCTGTGTTTGTGTCCCTCTCTGTTGTTTTGGGATGATTTGGCTGCTGCTTTTTTGCCGTCTGGACGGCAGACGGCAGAAAGATTGATTTGCTCCTCCTCCAAGGCGTTACGCTAAACTGGACGTACATCGGCTTCCCTAGTGCAAAGATGATACCTGGTGCTTGACGGTAGGATTGGTCCAAACCTTCGCGCAGATCACTCGCCATGGCTGGTGACAGTTTCTGCCGCCTTCCTTTTGGAAGCGTTCAGGATGTTGCACTCTGACCAAGCGACGGTATACAAGCATCCATTTGTCCAAAACCCCCCCTTTGAGTTGTCCTTCAGCCGCATCCCAACTGAAGCCAGGACGATCAGAACGTGGGCCACCCGTGTCCACGAAATCGGGCTGGCTGAGTTGCAGGCTGGACATTGGATCGGCAACAAACCGACCCAAGATCTGTAGGTGAAGCCCAAACTTGCCATATTTCATTTGTATTGAGGACTCCTGAAGGTCAGGAATGTAGCAGCTGACTTGATTTGCTCGTGTAGTTTTGGTGCTCGTCCCATATCGGGAGGTGACCCAATTTCCAGGTCCTCAGGTGAAGGCAACTGACAGCCCTCGGAGGGTGGCCAACGATGAGTGGCAGACTTCCCTGCAAGCTTGGCGGGCCGCAGCGCCGCAGTCTGGCCACAGTTTGAGGGACGGGTTTGGGGGGGGGGGCCCTGTGTGTATGCGTGTGTGTGTGTGTGTGCCGAGTCCCAGATGTACCCTGGACCACCTGTTCGATGACTGCAGCTCCGTCTAACAAAGGTCTCCACTGCGGCTGCAGCCAATTTATGTTGTGTGTTCCGTTGTTGTTTTGTAAAGACCACTGGCTGAATTGATGATGTGTTCTTTTGCTTTCCTGTCGGAAGCCAACTCGAGTTGACACAGGCGAACCTGTCTCGCCTTTCTCTCTTGCATGACGTACACAAATGTACTAAACCAATTTTTGGGGTATTGAAGAGTGTTATCCCGAAAGGGAGATCCTCGAGTGCACCCCTGGTTTGGCCTCGGGTCCGCTTCGCGGAGTTCAGGAACCTCAGTTGTCTGACCGTGACGTCAGTTCCATAAACCTCAGTGGTGTAACCTCAGCATCGTGACCTGAGTGAGATACGAAGGTGCTTTTGTGAATGTTTCGCACACAAGATCAACAAGGCTGGGTTGCCTCCTGCCAGCGCGGCCGTACATGGAGATTCGAGTTGTTGGAGAATTCCAGAAGTGGACAAGTGAACAATTGCAGCAGTTTGTCACGCTCAAGAAGGACGCCAGGTCCCGACACTTGTACAAGGTCTTGGCTTCCCGCAACCTGTCCTTGGAACCATGTGGCAGGTGCACCAGCAGCTGAGCACCGCTCAGTCCTGAAAGCAGAACGACCGATGAGTTTCAAGAGCTTGCTTTTGGACAGTCCTTGACATTTCACATTTGCCAGTTTGCGTCTTGATTCCATTACTGCGTAGCCGTGATTGGCCAGCTTCTTGCATTAAAAACGGAATGGAGATACCGTGGCTTGAATGGTGTCCTGATCCAGCGCATCCTGAACAAGAGTGGATTAAAATCTTCTTTCCTGGCCAATGGCGAGACACAACGGGCTCAACAAGGGCACCAGCTGACTTTTCATGGCAGGAATGGAAAACTTCACGACTTTGTGATCCTGGCGTTCCAGCTGAACAGCTTCTATGGCAATATCGTGACGGGCGTACAAAAGATATCAACAAGTTCTGCCGGCCTTGGCCGGATTTCTCCTCAATAGAGGCAGTTATGCCACCGCCGTCGCCCTCTTCATCAATTGCAGAGTCTGAAGAGCTTCCAGTCTTCCATGTCACTCATTTGTAACCAAACCTTGAAAGCATGAAAAGCTGGAGCAGGACTTGATGGCTTTGTGCATCTCTTCCCATCGGTGATTGTGCTGTGGCTGCTTTCTTTGCTTGACCTCGACCATGGTAGGTCACGGCAATTGCAACATGGCAACACTGTGGTTTGGAGTGGATTCCTGGCAATTCTCAAATTCAGCCTGAATGACAGCGCATTAAGATATGGATTACCCCAACGGAGATCAATCCTCCTTCTCCAAACACCAACACCTACCGGGAGTGGAAGAAAGTCTGGCAGCCTCCAAATTATCCCGACGACAACAACAGCAATGACCTGACAACCACTTGGATCTGGCAAAATCGGGACTGGACCAGTCGCGGACCGCAACTGGTGCTGAGCAGGGCAGCCTTGTTCACAGCATTCTCTACCACCGCTCGATCCTCACAGTCCTCGCGATCAATCACCAGTTCTGCCGCTGCTTCTACGTTGGAACGTCGTGAGGCAACCGCTGAGATGGAGCAACCGATCCTCCTTCCCAACGGCGTGCCGGTTTCCAGCGTTGCACATCCACCAGATGTTCCTTCTTGGGCTTCGCAAGTAGATCTTCCGATGCCAAGAAAAGGCCCCTGCAGAGGCGTGTGTGTGCCGATCTTGGACCCCCTGTTTGATTATGTGGAGCTCCATCTAACAAAGCTCTCCACAGCGGCCTGAGGAAATCACCAGGGACGCCTGGTAATTTATGTTGTGTGTTCCGTTGTTGCTTTGAAAAGACCACTGGCTGAATTGATGATGTGTT